ATCATATAGAATCATATAGAATAAGAACCTGTAAGTCTTTCTAAATGTTTGATAGTTATTTTTGTAAAGTTTGTTTATATATTCTCTCATTTATTTTAAACTTAATTAAAATAGATGTAAACAAAAGTAGTTGATTGGGGTGATAATAAGCACAAAGTAAATAAACCAATTAAAATTAATAAACAGTCGACATAGAATAAAAGCTTCCAGTATTTAGTAGTAAACTGTGTGTGGATTTGTTATCAATGTTCGACTAATTTTTTTTTGTTCGATGTTTTTTTTTACGCTAAAGAACGAGAGAAATGTGGGTTGGTGTGTAATTTCCACAAGACTTACCGTCGACTGCCGCGACATAAATTCCATTTATTCTCAGACGCCAGTTGAGTTCTTCTTTTTTGTATTCCGACGACGGAAATTTCCGTTTAAGCCACCGCAGGCTTCCTTTAATGAACGATATGCCCTTATTTCAGTTTCAGAACGTCGAAAAAAAGACTTATGGATTTTAGACACAACTTTTTTTTTCTACCTTTTTGATTTTTTGTTGGTTCCTCCACTCCTATCTGTGTTTATTCTCATGAGTCAAGGAGTGGAAGGTGAGGTAGTGAAATCTGATGGTGGAGTTTAATTCCATTAGAATGCTGACTTTGCGCAGAGTAGAGATTTGGCCAATCATTCACCTGACGAGGATCAAGAGTGTTTGGTAAATACGTTGCTGCTGCTGTTTTCATTATGTAATACTCAACACCTGACGGATTACGAGGCTGGAGCATGGGATTGGACACTCCCTAAATCCGGGGATTAAATATGACCAAAAATTTATCAACACTTGCTCATCAATGTTTGCATTTACATTTTCACATCGTGTGAGTAAATATTTCAATGAACATTTTTAATCCACAATATTCAAACATAATTTGTCATAGAAGTATCTCTTCAGGTGTCTATGAAATATAGTAAATAATATTCAAAATAATTATGCCAATATTTCACAAAAATATAATTCAATATACATAAATATTATCAGGTTTTATATTAAATTACTGAATTAAATGTAGGAGGTAGGATGCAACGGTCCTCAACCTTCTTAAACTCACGGACCACTAAACTCAAAATATTGAATCTCGCGGAACACTAAACTCAAAAACCAGGACATTTTTTTTTAAATAAGATTCTAAATATGAAATAGTATCTACAATGGGCCTTTTATAAAAACGCAACTTAATAATGCAAAAATTGTAAAAAAAAAATGGATTCAGAATATAATAAAAACATAAATAATCTCTCGTCCATGGAAAGTCTCACAAACCTGATAGAAGTACACTACAGTAAATAAAATGGGCGGCCCAGTACCATTTGATCCGGGGCATGGGGACCACTGGTAAGATGCATAGCAACTAATTAATGTTGACCCTGTACATAGTGTGGATGGAACTCTATATAATTTTATAGTATTACAATAATAAGTTGCAACTTTTATTCCTTTTGTTATCTTTTTATAAATATAATTATAAGTTTTCTTGTCGACGAAAGAAACGACTTTTTTAATTTTTTTGAATCCCGGGAATTAAGGCATTCCCTTGTTTCGTGTCACGGGTATAAAAAAATGCCGAGACTGAGCAACCCTAATAATAAAGTAGTCATAATCATAAATAATTTTCTTTAGCAATGTAGAAAAATAATCCACAGAGAGTATTCAAATTCTGCTAGGCTGTTACTTTTATCATTGCGTGAATAATATTTGCATAACGAAAGATGCGATCATAATAATAACCGGATTACCGAGGTCGTGTCTGTAACTCCATCAAGTCGGTTTTATGACCGTCTTATTCTCTTAATTAACACTGTTGTATTCCCCGCAACGACCGAACCGTAAAACATTTTTATTCTGTATAATTAAAATGAACAAATTAAAATTTTAGTTTTATCTTTCTAACATATAGTACCTCAAAATGATTTAATATAATAGTTTATTTGTATTATATACAATATAATAGCTGCTAAAATTTATTATCTGCTAAAAAAGGTAGTAATAAAAAATATGCAACTAAAACTTATTAATTATTATCCAATTTTCATTCAGAAAGTATATTTTAAATATTTCTGCAAAATTTATCTATAATTCTAATAAGAAACGCAGATTCACAATAAATTAAATTAGTAATAAAATATACCGTTACTTTAATAATCAAAAGAATAATAACTTCATTATTTTTTTAATTTATTAAATTCCCTTTGGTTCTAAATAGGTCAATAAAAATTGTTAAATAATAAGTATTCATTTAATTAATTTAATACGTATTTATTTATATAAAATTTAACGATTTCTTGTTATTCTAAAGAAAATGCATTTTATAGTCATTTCCCATAAATATTTAGTGTTAACTAAGTCACGTATTAATTGGTTATATATTAATCAAGGTTAGTAATCATATACAAATAAAATTATATATATTATTTATTCTTAACTGAAATTATTATATAATGTATTCCATTATATTAGTTCTTATTTTTTATTTCAAATAGGTTTTGCCAATCTCACTATGGCCATTACATTATTTATGATTTACTATAGGTTAGTTTTAATCTGGGACTAATCCTGACTATGCAACAAATTGATATAAATAAATCCTTTATAATACCTCAATTATAAAGGATTTACTTTATTCCGTAAAAACATTTTCCAGTCAATTCAGTTGGTGATTTTATTAAATGCACTTAAATGAGATAGATAATTCATTGTTTACTTCACGTAATATAGAGAAAATTGTAAATAATTTAAGTATAACAAAAAAATTGTTACCTTTTTAGAGACTAAAAAATGTTAGTTCTAATATTTTTTAATATTTAACATAATTTTTAATACAAACAAATATTTTTATATTAAAACCAAAAAAAAAATACAATTTAAATGTGCACAATTATACAATTATTGTTGCAATTAGTAATATAATTTTGAATAAATAATTAACTCAGTTGTGAATCTATTTTAATTGATTTAAGAAAAAAAAAACAAATTATTGTATATTTAATTCATAATTATTTAAATAAAAAAATTATTTGGGTCAAAAAATAAAGAATAATAAAATATAAATAAATAAATAATAAAAATAAAAAAATAAAGAATTGTAATGAAATATTTATATTCATATATCTATTTAATTTCTCCGTGAAAAATATGATGTGTATAAGTCCTTGGTTTTATTAATGATCAAATATTATTTAGAAATATAATTAACTCAATTGTTTTATATTAGTATACTATTATAAATTTTAAATATGTTCAAATATTATGCATAATGCAGTATATATTTATATATCATATAATTCATATTCATGTAAAATATTTAATTTAGTTGACGAACAATATTCTATGCAGATTATGTTTGCGCTCCCATCGAAATATGCTCTTCGGCGGTGAGGATTTGCAGCGGTAAAATCCGTCGAGAGCACTTGACCATAGTAATGTTTTGTGTGTGCCGGTGCTCCACCGAAGCTATACCAATACCAAGGATAACTTATGGCTATGGAAATGTGCATCCGCATACAAACACATACCTAAATGTATGCCTCCAAAATATACATATATACATACATGCATAAAAGCAACCATCCAAGCTCAGAATCTAAAATGTTAGCTGCTTCCACTCAGACCGAATACATATATATTTTTTACAGAACACAAACGTGGATATTCTTTGGATACATGCATTATTCCATTCTTGTTTTAAAAATAATACTAGATATAAGTTCATCAGAATTAAAAAAAAATTAAATAAAGAAGGAATATAGCTGAATCTTAGTCTTTACTTCCTTTTTTGTTTGTTACTGAATCAAGTACATTTTATTTATTCATTATTATTATTATTATTATTTATTTTTCAATTAATTTAATACATTAGCAAAATTTGTGACTTTATAATTTATATTTATAAATTATATTATTCGTTTCAATTATAATTTCAGATTAATTTTCTTTGATTTTTATTGAATCTTGAAAAATATTATTTAGTAACAATTTTTTCTTATAATATTTTATATATGTATTTAATTTCTCCGTGAAAAATATGATTTGTATAAGTCCATGGTTTTATTAATGATCAACCATTATCAGAATCTTTGCATTTGTTAATACAATAATATGTATTCTATCAAAGCATAATAAAACAATAATAAACCGGTATCATTACAGAATATGTTCATATATTTTTTCCATCCCTTGTTTCAAATATATTGAATATGTATTTATTTCTTCTTTACTACTAAATTATATTTTCATCATATTTTTGTTCCTTTGCGATATTCCATCATCAATTTTCCTCTGCATCGCTGCTGTTTGTTATATGACTCTTCAAGGATATCGTATATTTAAAAAAATGCTTCATTCTTTTATCATATTTTATACAATCATTTGTATGTCATTTTGTATTGAAATGATACCCACATATAGTGCGAGTAATCGTTCCTGCAATATCTAGGACTGTATGAAACCGGATAAATCGAAGAAATAAACAAAAATTTAGTTTGTTTCATAAGTTTGAAACCAGAATATAGTGAATTCGCACAGATCGAAGCCGCACTAAGAGGGGTATATATGTATATATTTGTTTTTATTGTATGTCTTATTTATTCTGTTTTCGCCTTCTTTTTTATGCATTTATTTTAAAATTATTTATTTTGAAGCTTAGTCATTTTAGAACTAACAGAAATAAATAGTGGCCAATGCTTAGTTATAAAAATAAAGATCGGGATACAGAAGACAATATCTGCTGTATATGTATACGTACATATCTTTTGCACTCATTAGCCAATTCATGAAATTCATGAATGCATTATATTTGCTATGTCTGCTCGAACAATAGCTCAAAACTTTTAATAGGATGTGGAAATCTGTAATACAGTAGACGGATATTTATAATAATTAATTACGTTTTGTTTCAGTACTGGTCACTATGGATTGGCGCAGCATTATTCCATTGTTCTGTGTGCGTTCTGCCTTCGTTGAGCGATAACAATGTCCTACACATCGGTGGCATCTTCCCGATTGCGGGAAAAGGAGGATGGCAAGGTGGACAAGCTTGTATGCCTGCCGCAAATCTCGCTCTCGAAGACGTCAACAGCCGGAAGGACCTGCTCCCTGGATACATTCTCAAATTACACAGCAACGACAGCGAGGTAAGTTCTATTTTATATTCTTCAGCTTCATATAATATTATAACCTATAGATTAATCATAATATAAGTAAATTGAGGTTATGATATAACCTAGTTTAAAAATGATCGTGACATAAAACACGAGTAGTTATCTAGAACAGCAATTTCTATAGATCAGGGACGGACAACTTGTTCGTACTTGAGATCGAGTTTTCTATTAAAAAAATGATTACAATCTTCCTGATCTATTGACATTGTGTAGTTTGTCTCGTTTTAATAGCGAACCTGGACATTTTTCTATAGTCTTTAAAATAGATTATTATTTTTGGGCCTCCCTAATATTATTTGCCTAGTGACCCCTACCAGTGCCGTTTAACATTTTGCATGAATATTTAGTGAGATTCCCAAACATGAACGGTGGTCATGGGTAACTTAAATAAAAAATATGAGAGAAGAGGGTCATACCATTAAAAAACTGTGAGAGCGGTGTGTGACGTCCAAAAAATATGTGAATTTTAACAGTATTTGGGGCCCATATAATATCCACATATTGCCTCGCGCATTCGCCCGATTGACCTGTCGTAGCGACGCTACTGACTCACAACTATCCTTAACCCTTAGAGGACTAGAGGTTACCAATACTAACCATATATTATACATTTATTTTCTATGCTCATGCAGTTTTCCGTTGAAAACCGTATTGTTTAGTGTCTTTCTACTGGTTGGCAGTGCTAACCATATTCTGTAGCATAGTTTTTTTGTAATTTGTTGATATTTATATTAATAAATGTTTGGAAGCAATTTTGTCCTCAAATGGTTAATCCGAGTACGAACGCATGTTTTCTGTAATAACAGTTGATTTACGATAGGTCATCAAGGATATTTTTGTTAAATACTAAAAATAAGAGAAAAATATTTTAATGGATTTTTAGAAAGAGGTTAAAAATAATAAGTTGTTAGAAATTGTTCATAGTTAATTTTTTTCTAGATGAACTAGACTGGTGACAATTCAAACAAAAGAAATATAAAATTAATTAATTTATTAAAGAATATTTATTTTCAGATTATTAAATAAAATCTGTAATTTTTTTTTCACAAATATTATATTATTCCAAATTATGGTTTAGTTCAGAACGGTTTCATTATAGTCCTTTAAGAAAATTTAAAAAGAAACTAAAGTTTAATTGAACAGAATAAAAATAAATTCTAAAAAATTTGAAATACAAAATTATTATAGTTATTTTATTTAAATACGCTGTATTGCTGTATTTACAAAAAATGAAGATTGTTATTATAAACATCCTAAAGAATATAATCCCTAAAGGCAATTATTACAATTACTATACTATTCATTATATAAATAAGTCCAATATATAATATAGGCACATTTTTCAAATATATAATCAATTTATTAGTGTCTCTGTTCATGAAATTATATATTATGTTTTGTAACAAAGAGAAAAAAATAATAGTTTTCAAATAAATCTTTTCTCACATAAAATTTAAACTTAGATTTTCGTTTATTTATTTGTTTATGTATGAATGTTTCAATAAATACCTGCATACGAAATGATACTATACATAATACTAATATTAATAAATGGATTATTTTAAATATTTTATAATATTAAAGAAATTAATTTGTTTGTTTTAATATTTTTGCGTTACAAGATGGTTTATTGTTTAATCAAATAAATTGAACATAATGATTATCCTGTTTTATTGATACACTTGATTTTATTGAATTTGTATATTCCCGGTATATTGTATAAATTGAATCCATTACATTTCTCATAAATGAGCATAGATGTAAATAAACACACAATCGGCTGTACATGGGAGAAGGCAAATACACGTATTTGCTTTCAGGTTTACACAGCTTCTACTTTTACATACGGTCTACACCGAATACACGTGCGCAAACATGCGTTCCGGCGCCGCTGTATCAATCATTGAAATAAAGGATTAATGATTTTCAAACGTTCATTTACAGGAATGAATTAATTCCGATGATACTTGAATAAAACACAAAGCATTTAATTACCAAACATCAATGTACGTTTATTAACTACAGAATTAATCATTTATATAAAATTATGTAAAATTTCTATTGTTTACAGATTAATTCTATGCACTTGAAAAGTAATTATGCGGGTAATCTATTTAGCCAAAATACCGGACTGTTTGAAACTGAACTAATAGAGGAACTAAGAAATACAAAAATAATCCGCACAAAAAAAATAATTTAATGTAATAAATGAAATTTTTAAACCGCACAACAGTAAATCCGGACTGATCGAATGCGCACTATTCAAGGTATTGCTGTAATGTAATTTGAATGTATATTGAACAAAATTAGTAATTAAAAATAATCAATTTTACTTTCAATATTTTACAAAAAGATATGAGCTTTAATCATTATACAAATGTAATAATACCTCGCATAATGCGGGTAATCTGTTTATCCAAAATACCGGACTGGTTGAAACCGAACTAACAGAAAAACTCAAGAAAAAAAAAATATCTTCACAAAAAAAATGGATGTCTTAAATTATTTTTTTTAACCCGGACTGATCGAAGCAGCACTATTCAATGTATTACTGTAATGCAATTTCAATGGATATTGAAATCAATAATGTAATTACTTTTGTGATAAAAGGAAAAGCTCCGTTTTGTAAATTAAATTATCTGCCACCAATAAAATAATCCATCATCGAATGACAAGCATGACAAAGGTGGTACTTAAGTGGCAATGACGGGTAGGCTCAGATGATCTCTGGAGGTTTTAGTCCTGATAATCGTATTATAATATAACTTGGAAATTTTAAACTGATCCATAATGCGACGAAGAATTTCTTCAATACTTATTCAAATAATTGAATCTCTTATAAATAATGTATAAATTATGTAATATATAGTTATAGTTATATAAATTATGAACTAAACAAAAATTAGTCTCTAGACTTTAGAGGATTGTCGAAAGAAGGAAAATATTTTAGAAATACTAATAGAAATTCTTTCATTTAATTTATGTAATATACATTTCGAGTCCAGACCTCCTTAGATCGATTTATTTTAAGTTATTAACAGAATTACGCCAATTTTATTATTTTCTAAAAGTGAATATGAAAAAACTAACGACCAAAAAAGAATATTGAATATATTTATTTAATAATATTAATTATGATTTAAATTTTATATTTTTGTAAAAATAAACTTTATATTTTATCTATACTCAATGTTTCTATTAATTTTGATTTTTTTTTATTTGAGTGTGTAAAAATATATTACATTTATGCAAAATGTTTGTGTGTGAGGGATATTGCATCCTTGTGTATTCCTATTATCTTGAGACAATGTACTAAGAGATGCTGGTCTATATACAAAGTGTATGTGCATTCAACCATGTTGTTAACTTTGCATGGCTAATGCCTTCAGCGCCTGCCACCGCTATCTTTATAACAATATAAACTTGCATTGTTATACACATATGTTTAAACAAACACAATTTGTATATTAACAAAGTTTTGAAAGGACTTTCGGGTTAAAGGCAGGAGCTGTGTAAATTCATGTGCAAGGACCGTGGACTGGCGGAGAACTAATTGTCAGTTATGGATTGCTTGATTAGATCGTCCAGACGTGAATTAATTGTAGCAATCTATAAATAGTAACTTTATAAATAGTAACTTTATAAATAAATCCTATCATCAGTTTGCTAGAGTGTCTACTTACTAGTGGAAGGGGGGTTGATATCGTCTGGTCTGGTGGACGCGGTCAACAGTTTTGCATTGCAAATTAATTGGAAGTGGGTTTTGGTGGCCAAGAGGCATCTCGTGCAAATAACTTTGTTAGACTGACACAGCCACCCATTATCCTACTCTTTACATCGGATCAATTCATAAACTGCAAATTTTATTAACCGCACCAAACTTCCCCGACATTAAACCAATTACAATGAACCATCCCGCACTACCACCTAATCAAGTTAAATCAACTATTAAATAAATTTAACCACTTTCACTCAAAATAAAATTATTATTTGTATATAATTAATTAGATCATATTCATTTGAAATATTTAAATAATTTCAACTATTTTCATTTTTTAGATATTTAGATTGATTTGAAATTTATATACCGTACTATGGTGAATCCACACTAATAGAAGCAGCACTATACGAGATATTGGTATACATCATACATATTTAGAAAATGCAGGGCGGGCCAACGTCGACTGACTGATGTAAAATACATATAAGTTTTGTAATTGTATTTATTTTTTATATTTTTTTTTATATGAAAGTGTAGTTTATTAGAATTCTTCTGTTGTAAGTGTGGAAAATAATATCATTTAAATGACCTCCATTTCCTTGTTGACAAGTAATGACTCTTTCTAATGCATTTATCCAAATTTGTTATTTCTTTACGAATATTTTATTGAATTTAAATATTCATGAACATATAATAATTAATTAAATTCGCTCATTTTGTATATGTTTATATAGAGTTGTATCATGATTGTTGCTACATTTAGGTTAGAGACGGGACAACATTATTCAGCAATATTTTGTTTATTGATAAAAGATTATTTTCACATTTCAATTTTGGTGTTATCCATATTATTGATACACTTATCAAAATTAGTAATTGTCAAGAATGGATGGATGGTTCATATATCTTTGTAATCAATAGTGTCATAATTCTTTTGTATTTTATTGAACTATGTAATCAAATTTAAAATATGTTATGGTATCATTACATAATTTTAATTTACTTGTAAATATATAGAAATTCATTTGACTGTTTTACATTATTAATATAATAAATTTTGTTTTTAAAATAACATACAACTAATGGAAACATTAAAACAATACATCTCATAGTGTAGGATCCGACAATATTCCGGATTATTTTTTGAAACCGATCTAATGGAGAAATAAAAAAAACAGAAATATAAAACTCACAATATTGACTTGCGTGAAGGAAAAGATTATTTTTGTATAAAACAATACGTTTGTATACT